TAAAGTTTTAAAATTTTTTTTTCCAATAAAAAAAAAAAAAAAAAAAAAAAAAAAAAAAAAGTGTCCATCTTTGATTACTTTCTGTTTTGAGTTTTCCGCCTCTAAAATATGACGATAAACATTTTCAGTCTGGCCAAAAAATACATGGAGTGGGAAATATTCAAAGGTTACAGTCATATTTATGTAATTGAAATATAATGCAGTGAAGCAGCCATCCATACACTGAACATTAATGTTTATGCTCTTAATTCTAACTAAGCTTAAAACATTGAAGCTGAAAAGTGCATCACCAGCATTGAATGACAAATGGTAAACATTTTTTACTGTATTCCATACTTTAAGTAGCTGCAAAAAAAAAAGGTAAAATGAAAACAATCATCGCAAAAGAGATTTAATTAAACTCAACCTTTCACTTGGGAGGATGGTGTGAAGGGAAGAATGTGCTCCGACTTCTTACAAAGCCAACAATTACCATAATAAAGAACAAACAGAAATGCAGCCACACAGACTTGCTATCACCGTGATTGGAAGAAAGAGAAAGTGTGAACCTACACAATGACATAAAAACTGAAAACAAATTAAACCCAATTCCTCTGTAGAAATCTACATGATTAAACATCAACGAGAAGAAAGAAGATTATAATTACTGAATAATTGACCGTTTTTACTTCGTCATTGCCAGGGGTTTTCCGTCTGTCGGTCATTGAGAATAAACATTTAATCGCTTCTGTTTTTCCGTTATCGTTTGACATTTTGCTATGTTACAGTGATTCAATATCAAAAAGGAGCGATTCCAAAGCCTTTCCTAATTTCAGTTTTGAGATACTCCTGCCGAATGTGACGAAACATAAACAAAGGCTCAGTAACGATACATAATCCATATCGCACTTACAGTAAGCTGTGATGTGAACCTGTAGCATCACAACTACATTTTTTTTTTTAAACAAAACAAAACACAATTTTGTGGGGAAAAAAAAAAAAGGAATTTCAGGTTGTTACAATGATATAAGCCATGCAAAAGTAGTACATGATTTTAAATTACAGAATATAATCAATTTAAAGTTTCTAGAAGTGCAAACATAATTCTATATTTTTTTTTCATGAAAGGAAAAGAAAAAAGATGAAGATTATTTATCCGGCTGCTTGTTAAAAATAAATCCACATTAGACAGAAATTTTATGACTATAAAATGTGTAATGCGTTATTTGCAAATATGAATACAAACATTCAAGCGGTCAGCAAATCCACAGTTTTAAAAGATAAGTTGGCATCAAAAACAAAAAAATCTATAAATCAAAGCTTTAGAAAATAGATATATGACAACATCTGCTAGAATGCTTTAATATTTACTACTTCCATGTAATAAATATATCTGGGAAGGTAAGCCATATGCATAACACAGTTACACACTCCCACCAACGTCTGTCAGAGATTATGCAACATCTTGTTTTCACTTAACAAGACTAAATCTTGTGTGTCAAAAATAAATCTGAAATGTTTTGTTCTTTGGAAACAAGATTTTCTTGTAGCGTTGGTTCCAGCGAGACTTCAGAACAATTACTAACCAATAGGGCACCAGAGCTATCCTGCAGGACCCGCCGTATGACATTCCTAACATGTATTAAAGTCTTGCCCATGTCGTCCCAGTTTTTGTTCATGTCAACTGGCACAACAAACCGTTTCACATTCTTGACTTGGGCGTGGCTGCCATCATTTTCAGCAATGTCATCAAGAGGTTGAAGTGGCTTCTTTTAATTTGATCCCAGTAAGTTCAAACATATTTTGGAGTGGGAAAACAATCGAAACACCAGGGAGGTCCATTTGAAGTAATTTGACATCATCTACTTATTGAATATTGATTGGAAATCTGGTTGTGAAACTTGAATAATATCTACCAACAGGAAGCCATTCTCAGATCATTTGGTTTATCTGGGCTAAATGAGGATCAGAGACATAATCAATGACAATAGGTTGTACAATCTATTGGGGGGAAAAACACACACAAAAAATGTAATATACAAGAGATTTACATATTTATTTCCAAAGGACTATTTAATTCAACAATTAATCTGAATATCTAAAGAAATTAACTGATATACAACAGTTAATAGGTAAGAAATTGCCTCCTTATCGGTATGAAATGGTACTCCATTAGGAGTAATGAATCAAAACATAATAAACACCTCAAACCCATTTATTAATTCAAACATTGGTAAGTTCCCCTGCTGTGCTTTAGTGTACATAAAAAAAGGAAAAATCAGAAAAGACTCAATAAAATTTGTATAAAACCTGGAACAAAAAAAAACAAACAAACATATCCATGTTGTAAATCAAACTGTGATTAAGAGCGTAGCAACAAAGGTAAATGGTGAGGCAAAAGCTGCACCTTGTCCTCAAATACTGTAGTAAACTTGTAAGATTACATCTGAAAACTTCTGAGGGGGAAAAAAATGAGCATGTAAAAGTTTGCATTTGTTAACAATCTCACTTGTATCCAAGAATCTGGAGAACACAGTGAACTACCCACACAACAAAAGGTCTTCACTGGTTTCTGTGTGGATCTAGCTAGAAGTGTTTCTTTCAAGTTTTATAACAGAGGCTCTTGTACTTCCACTTCCTCCTTTTCATATGGTTTCGTTCGGTTATTTATTTTGTGTCAGAGTCGTTGCAACAGAATGGACTCCAGTTTGCTGACTCTACAGAGTCTCACTCCAAAATGTGTACACTTTAGAAATAGTGGCCACGAAATACATCCATCTAATACAAAGTGGAGATGCAAACCAGACAGGTCCCAGTCTATTAAAAGAATGCTAAATATCAAAAATATGTTTGATTTTGTTTAATTTTTACCCACTTCTTCAGCTTGGAAGGTAAAGTTTTGAAATCTGAAATCAGATTTATTCCAGATGAGGTTTACTTTGATGGACAATGCTAACAGTCCAAAACTTGTTCTTTGATTGGATGTTTTAGCTCCAATGTCTCTAATATCTCTTATTTAAACATTTAAAGAATAATTTTTGGAAAATAAAACCCCTAAAAACTTTCAACACACGGTAAGTATGAAGCAAATCATTTGGGAGAAAGAGAAAACAGAACATTGCATACTTTAAACCTGTTAACACAAACTTAAAGGGTCAAGTATAACCAAAAATATATTTTAGTAATTTCCAGAAACATCCTGACTGTCTAATAGATAATGTATATAAAATCCTAAAAGCTCATTGGCTTAAAGAAATGAGGGCCACCAGAGCCTAGATTTATCTTGCAAATGGAAGATGACAAACATTATCAAGTGCCTAAACAACTCCAAAAAGATTGTAACGCGTTTTTCTAGCACTGATGAAAGAATCTGAACTCACTTGGCATGAAGAAGCGGGTCAAAAGGTGGATGCTGTGCGCCGTAAACATGCTGAATACTGAGGAAGTAAAGCAGAGAGAGAGAAAAGGAAATGAATGGACTCATCCGTTCAGGCTAAATATGCTTGCCTCAATCTGTGCAAAAAGATACGTTTTCAATTTATGGAGACGAAAACTACTATAATAATGCATCTTTTCATAATTCAGTCAGTGACTGTAGCAACAGATACAACTTTGAACCTACTTCGGGCAGATTTAAAAGGTGCTAGCCTATGTTAGCATCGCAGCTCTTTGACAGCTGTGAGCAGGAAGATATAAGCGGTACAGAATGCAATAGTGTAACATGAGCAGTGCCACGTCAGTTTAGTCAAAACTGGCCAACTTTGTGCACAACGTTAAGGCCCTCAGTTAAAGTGAAAGCTGCGTGTGAAGCTCCACTAAGAGAAGCTAGCTCTGCTAAGCTAGCCAGCAGAAGGGGGAACACGTCACTTACCTGCCAGGAACCTTGGCTGCGTTTCTTTTCCAGAACTGTTTCTTGTTCCCGTCGCTCGACATTTTCCGCCGACAATCCAATAAGTCTCGAGCTCAGGCTCCCTGACCCTGTCCTCGTCTCAGAAACGCTTAATTTCTCTGTATTTACTCCAGCTCTCCTCCTCCAAAACTCAGAAAGCTGCCATGTTGGTACTACCGCATCGGCGAGTAAGCGCGACGGCGATTGGCTGGAGCGACGCTTTCTTTTGGTTAGCCAATCACAAGTGAGTACGCCTGTTTAATGATTTCAATGGACTGTTGACACGATGTTTACTAAAACTACAGACTGGGTCTCGATTAGGAGACCACCCATAAATATATCTGTGGAGAAAACCAGCATGAGGACCGGTTTGTCCTTAAAAAAATAATCTGCAAATGTTTTATTGTTGCTGAAGAGCTTAGTAGTTAAGAATAGGCTCATTAATCTGAATGTTGTACAAAAAAATTAATTAGGACCCTTAATTAATAACCAGAAACAGTTTTGTGCTTTTTTTGTCACCAACCGAACTAAGTACATCTTTACCGACTTTTCTAACTCCAATTAAAGATAACTGCACTATCAAATACGAATATTTCCTAAAGTTTGTTCAAAGCATAGACGAGAGCAAAAATAACTGATAATTTGTTCTTGCATATAGACATTTATATATGTGTTTGCTGTTTAAGTATAAACAAAGACAATCCTAAGTCATTACTACACGTCAGTTTCCTAACATTGACAATTTGATAGAGGATGGATATGTGGAAAAACAAGAGCACTCACTTTGTCCTACATTACTGTGATGCTTGTGAAAGCTGCCAGTTTGCTTTTGCAGCATTACTTTAATTTTTAAACTAACTTTACTCTTAGGAATATATTATGCCCTGTTTTGATTTATATGTCAAACAGTGCAACAATGGGAAGAAATTTCCAAGAATTGTGTCCCATGAAAACACATCAGCTTCTTGATCCTGGTAAAAAAAAAAAAAAAAAAAAAGTGTGTTCAGTGAAATGTGGAGTTAGAATTTTCTCCTACCACTTCGCATTAAGAACTAAAAATTCAATGTGGCTTTCATCTGGGCAGATCACATTCTTCTGCATGTTTCTGTGTCCTCTTATGGCTGATGGAAAATTCCAGACTTCACTTCTTACTGCTTTTTTTCCCTCAGTGACTGAATTCTTTCTCTTTGCTTGACCTTCAAAGTTGTATTGCCTAATCTGCTTTAAAACTTCTTTAAAACTTTTTTACTTGGCCAGTCCGGTGTGCTTCCAGGACTTAATCACACTTTTTTTTCAATAATGTTCTGTAAACCAGTGAGGCCTTTACAAAACAGCTAAATTTCTACATAGAAAAATAGGACTTCTGAAGGCAGTTTTATTTGGGGTGTCGGAATAAAATGTTTTTCTCACTAACAGAATCTACTTATGAAGGGTTTCGTACACTTTTAGAGCAAATACGTTAACACAAATTGTGCCAAAACCCAACACAATAATGTGTCTATGTAAGAATGATGTACTGTGTAAAATTCAGACACATTTCCTGTTCTAATAAACCAACAAAAGTTAATGTTAAAATTATTTAATACAAAAATGGTGCTTGTTTACAAAATTGTGTTAAATAATTTTAATACATCAACCCCACAGACGAAAAGAAAAAACTAGTTTACACTCAATCTGGTGCAAAGTATGTTTAAGTAACTTTTTTTTTTTTAAAAATTGCACATTGTCTCTGTTAAACTAATACAACAAAAGAAGAAAAAACAGTGGTGGACGCTATAATTGACTGTTTTTCCTGTGGAAAGTTTCAGAAATGCAGACATCTAAGAAGTAATCTGATTGGTCAATGGTCTAGCATATAATTTGTGCCCTGACCTCGAAATAAGAGAACACAAAAAGAAAACTAAACCAGATGTATACTTGATAACATAGAAAATTAGTTGTAAAACAACACATTCTTTTAAGAGAGTAGTTGTAACGAGACAAAATAGAAATTATTTGCAAGGCAACTTTATATTCATGTCATTAGAAGTGATCATAATAGAAAGCGGACCGCTTTTTTTTGTTCTTTTTTTTTTGTCACGGCGTAGTGAGTCATCTCTCCGCAACGATCTTTGTTGACGTCTGTCTGATAATAGGCTACTTCGCAACCCGGAGTCGCCAAAAAACACAGACGCTGGACGCTCTTCGTTACGCAGGTCGTAACAAAGTTGGAATGATTGTGTTTTTTATTTTGTTACTGCGACAACTAAAGACACCATGGAGAACCAAGACAAAATAATTTGCTCGGAGCTTTTTCAGAAGCAGAGAAAGGTAGAAGTTGTTCTCTATCCGGCTGTTCTTGCATGGAAGGAAATTGAGAAAAGCAGTAAGCGGAGCTCTGGGACTTCTGAATCAGGTAAGGCAAACACAAGGACATGACTGGAGAAACAGCATTATGTCAACTTGTATTTGTTCTGTGAAATTCAACTACAGCTTTTTGTCTTTCTAAATGGCAAACTGCTATTTGCAAAGCTGCATTTCCTCCACTTGGTTGACCTTCATTACATGTAACTAATGTTCCTCAGAAACAAAAGTCGTTTTTGCTTCCTATCTGGTTCACACACATGTAGAGTGAGAAAGAGTCGGGTCATATAACTGTTGTAACAAGGGCTTGTTATAACTGTCAAGACAGGCCACAGGTCTTTACAAGAAACTAGGGCTCTGTCATTCATTAACTCATTCATAAACTGTTAAGTGTGATTTTAAACTCCTCCAGTGAGGGCTTAAAAAAGAAGCTCCAATATGTTATCATTATTAAGTGTATTAAAAAAATATCATATATATATATATTTATTTATTTATTTATTTATTTATTTATTTTTTAAGTAGATAATATAAAGATTTCTCATGCACGTTCCAAAATCAGGTTCCAGATACTATTTTGGACCACAAGTGACACAATTCAAATCTTAAGCTGTTAGTTAAATATTTGTGATAATGTGATAAATTAAATCAGAAAAGCTTAGATTTGAAAAGTATTTTATTTCAGGAAATAAAATAGCATTGCAGTAATAAAGCCTGCATAATAATTGCATATTTTTTCTTGTTTCCAGTGTTGTTTTGGACATCTGTCTTTAGTCAGTGAACTCCGTGCCATCACCCTAATCTTTAGCTCTCCCTACAGATTCACATCCAATTCAAGAGTTAGTATTACTTTCCAGTCAGAAGAAACATGCTGGTAAAACTCAAAGTTTACCTTAAATGTAATATTACCAGTGGTATAAATAGTTTTGGGACTAACTGTACAGCACAGGAATAAACAATGGCTAAATAATTTACTAAATCCATGATTAAATATGTGTTGATCCATATCTTGAATTTTTTAACCGTCATCCTTACTCATCAAAGTCAGTAGGTAGGGCTAACAGCGCTAGCCACAAGGTGATTGCTGCTCAGGATGTTCAATCAGATGTTTGTTACTATTTTTGATAGGTCAGGGTACCTGTATTGGTAATTTAATGATTAATTTAAGTGTAGGAAATGTGAAATAACAATAATAATATAATAATAAAAAGTTACTACAAAACTACTTTGAGGAATAGAAATCTACAACATACGCTTTGTGTTTATTTGCGCTGATGAAATCACCAGAGGGAAAGTAATCCAGCCTATCAAATTTGAAGAAATTTGATTCAGAGCATGTGAACAACAAGTTTAAAATGTCAAAATAACTAATCAGCTGCTGAGTGCCTTTTGTGATGTCATCAAAGCTTTGTTTCTGAGGGGGTACATTTTTATTTTCAGTAACATTTTTCATCTGAATGAAAAAAAAAAAATAATAATCCAACCATGAAAAAAAAAGGCTGGAAACTTTAAACTTGAATATGTACAAAAATACGAGTTTTGGTAGATTTTTGTTTTTAGCACATTTTTTGGGCAAATAACAAAACAGTTTTAACAGCCAGCTGCTGTTTCCCACTCTGCGCTAAACTCAGCATGCACAGGTTTAATGGTCTGATCCTTTAGTGTCTCTTTACTTTTAATGGGGATGGGAAACAGCCCCCCAAATGTTTCTGTCATTCCTATCAGGCAACTTCCACTTCATCGGGTCTTCCTATATCCCCCCGAAGCTAATGTTTGTTCACCTAAATGGCTTCCTCGCTTGGCAATTACTGTAGCATATCGAGTGGAGTGATTACAGCTGCCGCCGTACGCTTTGGTTCGAACCCAGCCCTTGACCTTCCACAAAGTGGTATCAAGTGCCCTATAATAACCTGCCATAAAGACTTCCATTTATTGAGTCAGCATTAGACGTGACTTCATCAAATCCTGCCAGTGATTGCAGGGACAAGAGCAGGTCAGTTTACACCAGATTTAGGGATCGAACACGGATGCTTCTCGGCCAATTAAAAAGTTTAAACGCCACTGATAAAAAAATAATAATAAACATTCTCGTCTTTGCTCAAAGTCAAATAGCAAAAGGATTCTTGCATTTGATAGAATTTTTTTTTTTTTTCCATCGATTAGCTTTATATAGAATGAGAACGTGGCAACAGGTGGATTTGTTTTTTCATCCTGAACTCTTTGCACTTAGCCAAACAGGAGCGGCTCAGTTTTCACTCGCAGCAGCTTTGCATATATTAATGAGCTTCACAAACTTTCCAGTCTTCTTCTTCCTGCAGGGCTTTTTCTGTGTTTACACTGGGAAAGAGTAGTAAACATTCACTGCTGTCCTCTGCACAGTAATTCTAAAGGGGATCTTCATAGCATTTAAAAAATATATATATAAAACATATATGTAATCCATTAAAAAAATTGACTGATCTATTATAAACACTGAATGGAATGCATACACACACACACACACACACATATATATCTGAAAAGTGTGGTGTGCATTTTGTTCAGCTCCCTTCTACTTTGATACCCTTAAACAAAATCCACAAAGCTCGTCTCCATGGCGCCACCAGGATGCTGCCACCATACTGGCCTAAATAGGATCCAACAAAAAAGTTGCTGTATAAAGTATTGACTCAGAGAGGGAACCCTGAGGCTAGCTAATTTGAAGGCATTTCATTTTACTGGATTTATGATTTATTTAAGGGGTTGAAATAAAAAATGACATGTATGTTTTAGTTTCTAAAAAAAAAAAAAACTAAATCATGTATTATTTTTACTTCTCTTCAAAGATGTTAAAAGATAAAATTGCAATAAAACACATTGAAATTTAGGTTTGCAATGCAAAGCACTCCGACTTAGTCCAGCTAAAAAATGTTCAAATTATTATTCAATTGTTGTAGCTTTTCACATAGACTAAACTAGTACAATAAAAAGGATAGTTTGGTGTAGATTTAATTTGAGAAACTGTTACCTTTGCATGTTGCCTTGATGCTCTGCTAACTGAATAATATTCTCTACGTTTCATGTATCAGTTTGTGTAAGATGCTCTCTTTCATCCCCACTCCATCCTTATCTCAGCCTATCCTCCTTTCTCATGCTCTTAAAAATGATGTAATCAAACTGCAACCAAAATCCAATAAGCCAAGTTTCCTGATTTAAACGCACGCTTTGGTCCAATTACAAAAACACATTTTACAATCAATAGTTTGCATCAGACAAACAAACGTTGCCTCATAACTTATCTGCTGCTGTTGAAACAGAACCAATGACCCGTTCGAAATGGTCTGCTGTGAAATTACTTTCCAGTGACGGTGTTTCACAAACGCTGCTTCTTCCCGTTCTCTGACTGCACTTGTTTATGATTACAGCAGTGGTGTCAAGTCACTCGGCAGGTGAGCAGGAATAACTGGATGGTGTTGCTTTCTTTTCAAACCTGAGCTCGCCGATCAAGTAAGCAACACCATCACGCCCCGATTGGCGCGCTGCTACGCAGAATCAAGAGACAGCCGCTTTAGTCTCACTTGCACCTCCTTTTCTTGGAAGCAAAAGTTTCTATTATCCACAACACAGCCAGGTTGAGTCTTAAAATGAAGAAGGGCTACACAGAGAGCCAAACATAACCTACATGGGTTTTTGTGAATCATTTCTTAGGGTGTTTATTTTTATTTTTTTTGCCTTTCTTCTACGCATTTGTGTTTCGATCCTGTGGTATTTAGAAAAAGAAACTGCAGGATTTCTAAATGTAACCGTACGGTCTGGACTACTTCTCAGGAACAAGTAATGTTCACTACTAGTCTCTAGATCCCACTTTTTTTTCTTTTTTATAACTTGCCCTCCAAGAAATTGTGTGCAAAACCATTGTGACAGCTCCAGTTTAAAACGTATAAATTTTATTTGTGTATACTGACAGTAAAGTTTACACAAATAGCCAACATCTTACCATTTCCAGGTTTATTATTAACACTTATTTAGCTTGTACTGTTTCATTCAAATTCCAAGAAACAAATATGCACCACGTCATATTTGTACCTCAGTGCAAAAGTGAGTTCCTAGAAATTCTGGTCTTCCTTTTAAAGTACATTACAGGAATTGGTTATGAGTCCAATGTAACAAGTTTCGTCTCTTGATGTCACATTTGGCAGCTCCTTTTCTTGGAAGCAAAGGCTTCTATTAAGGATATGAATTCTACTAAAAATAATGTTGGAAAAAACACTGGAAACTTATTAAAAAAAGTCAACAAATGACAAGTTAAGGTGATCTCTAACAAGTCATCAATACACACCCTGCCGGATTGCTAAGGCACCGCGATAATCGTATCGCCAATCCACATTTTGAAGAAGAATTTGGAATATACCGATACGCTCCAACTTGTTCTAACTGGAACTTTCCACAAAGTGAACTTGAAGTTTCATTGAACCGCTAGTGACTGTTCTCCTGCTATACCTTCCTCCTTGGTTGTCCTTTCTTCTCCATCTGTTTGCCAAAGCGTTGGCTCAACAAACACCGCTGTGCCTGGGAGAAATCCGCATGTCTTGTTTGACAGCTCACTGTCATGTGTACCCAGGCAGATCTGTGCTTTGTAATCTAAAGCTGGTGCTCAATGCACAGGCCTGTCTGTGTGCTGAGAGATGGCTGCAGAGAGGAGGAGAGCGCGAAAGATGCAGGGAAATAAACAGTGCCAGGAAATGACAGCTGGGTATGGGGTAAATTGTGACGGTGTATGCCGCAACACTGGCAGCATTAAGGGATTTCCAGTTGCATTGATTGCAATTATTTACCTAAGGGGTTTGACCTCTGAAGCTAATTAAATCGACGCAATCATGTGTCTGTGGTTTGTTGTGTAGTTCTGAAACTTCAATCCGGCTCAGGGAAAGGTTTTTTTTTCTTCTAACAAAAAGAAAAAGAGAAAAAGGAGAGCGTTTTTCCGAACTACATAAGCAGGTTTATCAATTTCGCACCCTCGGTTAAATCTCATCTCGTCCATCGCACTCGTGTTACGTGTCATTTGGAGTGCAA